CCCTAGATGATCTCAGTTAATTCTTACACGGACTTGCCATTACGTGGTATTTTACTTGCTGATTTTATTTTGAGCTGTTTTGTCAGGCCTTTCATTTATCATTTATCTGGAGGCACTTACCTATACTTTTTGGATGACATTAATCTATCTATTTTTTATCACATCACATTTTTTATATGATTGTTTAAGGGAAAGATTCATCTGTGACATTTGTATTCTGAAACTGCTTGGATTTGACGGTGTGTTCAGCACGAGGCAGACTTGTCTCGAGGGTGCATTAATGAACTTAAAAATGAAAAATGGGTCCATGATTCCAGGTGACCTAAAATTATAACTCAGGTATTTATTGCTTTTCTTTCAGCACTTACAGTTCCTGAGTTCACCATGGCCTCCTGGAAAAGAAGCCAGTGTGGTACATCGCACAAAACATATCCATTTAATTTGATCTCCCCACTCTCTCATCAGTCAGGTCTCTTCCTCATTGGTGATAATACTGGATGCAGAGTTAGAAGACTCACATTTAGCTCTTGATTCCACTACTTGCTGCTTGTTTGAACTCAACTCAGTCATTTATCTCTCTAAAGTCCCGCAACCTCATCTGTGCAACGAGTTTAATAATCCGTGCTTCATTTAATTGGTATGCAGACTGAGTTAGTGCCCAGGAACTCGCCTGCCATATAAGAGGTAGTCAGTACATGTCTGTTGAAAAGAAAATAAAAAAATAAAAAGTCCTTCCTGTTTTCTGGTGAACTGTATACTGCAGAGGGTGTTTGGAGAGAGACAGCCAGATTCAGAGAGTACACCTATGCGACCGACCAAACTTAGGCAGGAGGCTGTAAGCCGGATGTCCAAGTCTGCCTGCTTCCTGGGCTTGTCTCTAACAGACAATCTATGGCCTCCCCAGGGAGCATGAGGATTAATTAGTTAATCTTTGTGAAGTGCTTTGAAGGTGAAAAGCGCTATGTAAGTGGAATGGCTGAATTGCTATTGGAGATGAAATAATGGCGCCACCTTATTTTGGCAGTCTTGCCTGTCATGGACATCAATAATCAATAGCAGAGAAACTTCTAAGATGTTTTATTTGATGTGAAAGAAAAGCTTCATTGTGAGATCTGTGATAGCATAATTTTTTTATGCAGTCTTAGAGATAGTAACTTGCCAGTTCTTCCCAGCAGGGTCATTTAAGAAGTTACATTCTCAGCTGTCGGCTTCCTGGGATCTCCCACGAGGCAGGCAGCCTGGGCCAGTCCTAACAAGCTCTGGTGGAGGGACAATTTGGGATACTTTGTGGGCATAAGAACTTGTCTTGGTCTAACCCTGCAGAAGTGAGGGAAGTGCATGGTTATCCGGTGCTGTGGTCCGGTGGCATGAACCACATGCCCAATAGAACCATGGGATAACAGAAGGGGATGTGACTTAGCCACCCGGCTCTGGTCAGGCCACTTCTCTGAGCCATACATTTCTCACCTGTTAAATTATAACAGTAATCTTTGCACTGTTCACTGCACATGTTGACACTGATGAAACTGTATGGCTTCTGACTGCCATCGAGTGGTTTCTGATTCATAGCGACCCTTTACGACAGGGTAGAACTGCCCCTGTGGCTTTCTCGACTGTAACACTTAATGAGTGTAGAAGGCTTTGTCTTTCTCTCGCAGAACGGATGGTGGTTTCAAACTGCTGACCTTGTGGTTAGCAGCCCAACATGTAACCCTTAGTATCTTTAAATAACACCTTCCCAGTTCTAGGGGTGAGAGCCTCGTCTCTTCTACCTCTGCAGTCTTCATGTGATATCACTTGACACGTCTCTCCTCCTCCCGTCCTCAACACAGTGTGGGGCTCCTCAGCCATAGGATTGTGCTTGATCACAGGAGGCAGCTACCAACCGGTGTGTCTTCATGGGCAAGGTCCCGCGTCCCTGTGACCTTCTGTGTTAGATGGACTAGCAGCTATCAAAAGATATAGCATCTGGAGTCTTAAAGAATTGAAGGTGAACAAGTGGCCATCTAGCTCAGAAGCAACAAAGCCCCACATGGAAGAAGCACATCAGCCTGTGTGATCATGAGGTGTTGAAGGGATCAGGTATCAGGCAACAAAGAACAAAAAATCAAATCATTGTGAATGAGGGGGAGTGCAGATTGGGGACTCAAGACCCATATGTAGGCACCTGGACATCCCCTTACAGAAGGGTCACGGGGAGGAGACAAGTCAGTCAGGGTGCAGTGTAGCAATGATGAAACATACAACTTTCCTCTAGTTCTTTAATGCTTCCTCCCCACACCCCCCACTATCGTGATCCCAATTCTACCTTACAAGTCTGGCTAGACCAGAGGATGTACATTGGTACAGATAGGAACTGGAAACACAGGGAATCCAGGACAGATGATCCCTTCAGGACCAGTGGTGAGAGTGGTGATACTGGGAAGGTGGGGTGGAAAGGGGGAACCGATTACAAGGATATACATATAACCTCCTCCCTGGGATATGGACAGCAGAAACGTGGGTGAAGGGAGACGTTGGACAGTGTAAGATATGACTAAATAATAATTTACAAATTGTCAAGGGTTCATGGGGGAGCGGGGAGGGAGGGAAAAATGAGCTGATACCAAGGGCTCAAGTAGAAAGCAAATGTTTTGAGAATGATGATAGCAACGAATGTACAAATGTACTTGACACAGTGTATGTATGTATGCATTGTGATGAGAGTTGTACGAGCCCCCAGTAAAATGATTTTTAAAAAAAGATGGGCTAGGTGATACCCGAAGTCCTCCCTCCAGCAGCCCAGTCTTTACAGTAACAGTGGTTTAGCAACGTACCTTTAGAAGATCAATGGTAGATTCCTGCTGATGTGGTTTTCACTTTCAGGTCCAATATTCCATTTACTGGGCAAACCCGCCTGGTACTATGTCCTAGGGACATAAAGATGAGTAAGAGGTGGACTCTGATGCTTGGATTGCGGTGTCCGTGCTAGTAGTTGATAAGCACAGTCATAGAAGTGACTCCCAGGAGGGTGGGCTCCCCTTCTGGGAAGAGCTGAGTTGCCCAGTAAGAGGTCCTAGAACTGACAGTGTTTGAGCTGGACTTTCCAGGTGGAGCCATAGACTACCAGGTAAATGCTCTATCTGTGGCCAAAGTTGCAGAGGATACAAAGGTATGAAATAGTCCATCTGAGTGGACCTGCTCCTAGAAATCAAAATATACCAGGCACTTGATGAACTACATCCTGTTCCCTCCTTCAGGACGCCCAGGAGTCAGACTCCTATGAACTGCTTGGCATCTGAGTTGTCCACAAGCCGGTTGATCCCGAGAACCACAAAGCCTTGCACTCCTGCAATCAGCTGACATTTCTCGCAGACGTCTAAGGCTGTTTATTAGCTGCCACTACAAACCATATGTTGAACGTGGGGCCAGATGAAGCTTTAATGCTAAGCACAGAGTATGTAGTAGATTTGTCTAGAATTTAATATGCATTACTCGGTGTTTTGTCTCTTATGCAAAGTTTTTCTTTGTTAAAATAAACATGTATAAAGAATTTATACAGCGCACATGGTTATGCATATTTATGGCAGAGAATCTGTTAATAATCTATGCCTCATAGGATTTGGCATTCCTGTTGAAATAACAAATGTGGCACTTGGTACAACTGAATGAGTGTGGTGAATTTTCTCTTATCTGGGAGAAGAGAGGCCATTTTTCTTTTCCCAAATTTCATCCTCCCCAGCCCCTCTCTTTATCACTGGCCAGCTTCTCGCTTGCCCCATCTGGGGATTGTGTGTTGCTCAGGCTCTGAGCGATTTTGTCTTTTCTTCCTTCTTCCTCGTTCATTCCTTTCCTCTACCACGCACAGATGCATCCGGGGGTGGGGGGGGGCAGTTAGGTCGTCCCTGGGGGGAAGGATGTGCATTCTGAGAGGTTCTTCCGGTCACACAAAGGGGACAGACACCACATGTTACTGGTCATTGATGGCACAAGGAGCTAGGCCTTCCAGGCTGGTGGCACGAGGGCAAGTCAGCACTGCGGGGAAGATCAGGGCAAATAATGGGGTCCCTGGGGTGGTGGGACAGAGGTACACCCGAGAACAAACATTTGGATGGAGCACAGGAGGGAGGAAGATGGAGGGAAAGGCTATCAAACAGTGGACACTTTTGTATCGTCATGTTCATAAACAGATGCCGTTGACTTCATTCACGTGACCCAACTGAATAGAATGGCACCCCATAGGGTTTTCCGTGGCTGATGTTGTGGTGCCTCTTGGTGGACTTGACCTTCCAGCCTTTTGGTTAGCAGCCGAACGTGTTAAGTGTTCACATCCGTTGGGGGCAGCAGAACCATAGCTACATCTGTATGGAGTACAGGAGCATAGGCTTTAGAATCAGGTAACTAACGCTCTGTTAGAACCCGGAGTTGGTACTCATCTCTTGTTTGATCGTGGGCAAGAGATGTAACCCTTCTGAGCCTCTGGACAGTTGTGTACAAGAGGAGGGTAAGAAAACTTCTGGGGACATAGCAAACCCAATCCTACTGCCACTGAGCCAATTCCGACTGAGCAACCTGTGCACAGAGACTGAGACTAACTCTGTACGGGGACAGACAGCCTCGGTTTCCCTCCTGCATGCAGCTCTTGGACTTGGACCTCTGACCCAGCAGTTAGCAGCCCAGTGTTTGTCCCACAGCGCCACAGGATCCCTCCCTGCCATTGCACAAATTCCAAGGTCTAGTGACCCTGTAGGGCAGAGTAGAACTGCCCCTGTGGGTTTCGGAAACTCACCATTTACTGGATCAGACAGCTTCATTTTTCGCCTTAGCTGGTGGTTTCGAATTGCTGCCCGTGCAGCTAGCAGCCCAATGCATTACCCGCTCCAGAATCAGGGCCACATCGTGTGCCCCGGGTAATAGTTGGTACTAAAATGAATACTCGGGTTCCTTTTGTAATTCTTTGCTTACCCCTGAGAGCACTGCTGTGGAATGAAACCTTTGTTCGAATAATGTTTGCCTTTTAGAGACTGGCAAGGTGTTGACCTGGGGCCGAGCAGACTACGGTCAACTAGGGAGGAGAGTGGCGGCCCCTGAAGACTGGCGAGGAGAACCGCGTGACCCCCTCCCCCCGCACTCCAGACCATGGAACAGCGTGCCCTCATCGCTGCACGGCTTATTGGGAGCAACTGAGGTAGGAAATGACCACTCATGGATGGGTCACCTTTTCTTTGCCTTTCAGGGAAGCGTTTACTGTGGGCCCCTGTGGGCCAGGCATTACAATAGGCTCCCTGTAGGACTCGGAAGGATCCCTTGCCCTCAAGTTGCTCATGATTGAACGTGGCAGATCCGGCCATCCCCAGCAGATGATATAATCAGGCACACTGAGATGACCCCCTTAGAGAGGTTCCAGGCTCTATGGCAGGGGTCCTCAAACTTTTTAAGTGGGGCCAGTTCACTGTCTCTCAGACCCGTTGGAGGGCCAGACTATAGTTTTAAAAATATATCTGAACAAATTCCTGTGCACACTGCACACATCTTATTTTGAAGTGAAAAAAAACAAATGGGGCAAAAACACCTGGCGGGCCGGATAAATGTCCTCGGTGGGCCACATGTGGCCCGCGGGCCATAGTTTGAGGAAGCCTGCTCTATGGGTTCACTTGGAAGAGAGAGATGACTTTAAAATATAGGGAGTTGGGTTAGGCTTCCAGGACCCTGTGGCTCTGCACTGTGCCTTTGAGAGAGAGGAGGACTTTGAGGTGGCTGCGGCTGCTGGAACAGAGTTGTGGGGACAGGGAAGTGAAGACTGTGGGTTTAGGCTGGAGCATGGGGCCTGTGGGGGAGAACATAAGGTAATATCAGAAACCGGGGCCTTTACCACTGAGCTAAATGTTTGCATTTGTGTTTCTATTTCCCAATGTGGAAAACATTGTGGTTCAGTTACTTTGTGAAGCCATTTGGTTCTTTGAAATGTCCTGAATTTTTGCATTCAAGGCCAGAGTCTTAATTTCTCTAGGGTGCAGTGTGTTTTGGTTACTGAATTTTACTTTACTGCTGCCCTTTAATAAAAGATAAAAAAAGATGCGATTTTTAGGAGGAACAAGAATGGCCATGCGGGAAATGTGCTTTGGAACCCGAGTTGGCTTAATGAAGGGACTCGGTCTTCATTCAGACGCTGTCACAGAAATTAATAAACTAGAGAAACTTCTGTAATTAGCATCAGACTAATTACAACCCTCTCCATACCTAGAGGGCTTCCTCTCCCCAGGGTCCGGACTGGATATGCAGGGCAGCTCTCGATTTTTGCTTCCCATTTGTATTAGTCTGGGTACTTTGGAGAAACAAATCCACAGCAACTCATGTATAAGAGAGAGTTTTATGCAAAGAAAATGTGCATCACGAAAACATCC